TTCTTTCTCGATTTATAATGCTTTTTTAAATTTGCAATCATAAGTATTGTAGTTATTTTTAAAGCAAAATGAATAGCACAAATATTTGTCCAAATGAATATTGTCCCAAGACCAATGATTACCCATTTAATATGGTCATTTTCTTTACAGAATCCTGCAAAACACAAATCACAGGTGACTTTTTTTGTTTCAGGTAATTTGTTCTATGGGAATGGAGGATTTTTCGATGGAAGGCCCCAGCCTTCTTCTTCTTGAACTAAAGTAAAATTTTTAGAAGTTGATGCATTTAAATTTTTCTTCTATAACGGAGGTTCCTTTTTTCTAAACCAACATTCATAAGAATTATGACTAGTATGACCATAACGTTTAGCTTCATATAATTCACACCATTTATAAGAACATTTAACTTTTTTCTCAAACGGCGGTTCCTTGTTCCTAAACCAACAATCATAAGAATTAAGATAGAGTAAATAATTACAAATATCAAAGAATTTCATAGGGCAGTAAAATATCTTTATAAGGCGACCTTGAACTTGTTGCCAAATGCATGAAATTTATGATTTATTTTAATATGGTGTGTGACAAGTTTGAATATTATAATGAAATACGTTTATTGAAAACCAAGGCAGAACGTTGGCTGGGTTCAGAAAAAGTTGATTATAATCCTGCAAGCTTGGTGGCGTGGATATTAAATGAGGTTGAATAATTAAAGTAAAAGTGATAGGTTAACATAAATACTGTACAAATCGAAATATGTTTGAATTTTATATAGCCAAGTACATATGTAAAAATTATATGTAAAAATTATGCGCAGAATAAAGCTATATTAAGTTACATATCTGATATAATACAGTTATGATATTGCACAGTTATATCAATATCACAGTTGCATGTTTTGATATGCCGAAATTTAAACCAAAAAGTCGAAATAAGTTATAACTCAGTTATGTTACAGCATATCCCGATGCTTTAAGCATCTTTAGTTATTTCAAGTCATTTACCATCTTTCATTATTATTATTTAAATTTATTGTTTTTTTTTTGTCAAAACATTTATGTCTTCTATAATAAAAGAACAGAAATGAACGTATTACTCTGTGTTAGCATTGAAAATTCCAAATTCCAATGATGACGAAACAAATTTCACAATTAATTTTGTTAAAGAAATAGGAAAACCCACTAAATCTGATAGCTCAATTAGTTATTTTTTCAGTCTTAAACTTTTTGTTTGGATAGTTATACACTGTCTAAACAATAATTAATCCAGAGAATATGTCAAAATTAATGAACAAAATTTTAACAACACTGGTTAAATAAAATGAACAATGATACACCTATTGATGTTATTTAGAGACATGCAGTTTAATACTTTATTTTTCCGATACATATCTCTAAATAAAGAATAAGAAATTTATCCTGTAATAATAAAGTTTACCATTACCAATCAAAGCTTGAATATTCAATTAAAAAAATTTAAAGATTTGGGCCGATTTTTTTGATCTCAAATCAATGGTAATTTTGGTCAAATTTGTAGATCATTTGGCCTTGGAGAAAAATTCATTGTTTTGAAAGATCATATGATCTAGGTTACACCATATCTTAACAATATTAACTCAAAATGGCGAGAATCTTTTTAATGAATTTTTCAGAAAGTTAGAAAAACAAAAAAAACTCATATATAAAGATATTGTGCTATTACAGTTTTTAGAATTTTGCAAAGGAAGGGTTGTTCTTGAGGTTAATAATAGAAAGGTTTTGCATAAAAAATATTTGGAAGGCTTAGATGCTAAGATTAAAGGTATGTTAAATTTTTTATGCTTAATTCTTCTATATTCCTGAATTCACAAAATACCTTTTCTAATAAACCTAATTGTTGTCATATTTCTAGAAACAACTATGAAAAATAAAAAATTTACAAAGAATGAACTTAAATCTATTAGAGACAAACTTTCAGTAAGCAATAATGATATGAAGAATCAAAATTATATGAGTGTACAAGTATTATGAACCAAGAGACTACTAAATTAGTTTCGTTTCAGAGATTGTCTGGTTACAAAGATATTTTGACTGGTATGCAAATGTAGATATCTTTATAGGACCAAGAAACTACTAAATTAGTTTCGTGTTAAAAATTGTCTGATTGTAAGAATAGCCTTAACAATTTTTGACTGGTTCTTACTTTTATTGCAATATGAATATCTTAAAAGTCTAAAGAATCAGGAGACTACTAAATTAGTTTCGTGTCAAAGATTATCTGGTTACAAAGATAAACCTTAGCTATTTTTGACTAGTTCCTACTATCAGTATTACACAATATCGAGTGACTTGACAAATATTTGTTTACTATTATGGTTTTGGTTCTTATGATTTCAATATATAATTTAAAGCTAATTGATTTTTTAATTACAGTAATAACGCTTACATCTATTTTTTATAGAATACCTTTATATGTTACGATGTAAGGACAAATATTCCGTATCCGAACGAAAAAGATGAAAATCGTAAGATTATTTATTTTACTTAATATAATTAAAAAATTCGATTAAAATTCTTACAAAATATTTTAATTTAGTACTAGAAAACAATATTAATAAGATAACCATTATACAAAAGACCTTGAATAGCTGTAGAGATATTAATGAAATAAATAGCATTTTGAAATTTATACAAAATGTGGGAGTAGATCAGATTAAAGAAATCAATAATAACATTCAACAAAATCAAAAGATTAAGACGATCGAATACTATTTAGCACAGAAAGTAAATTAAATATTACATAATTAAGTTTATAATTTATCATAATTAATTTATTCTTCTGAAAATTAGAAAGGCAATCCCAAGTGGTTCATCAATAGATTAAATGAACTCTCTAAGTATTGTGAACAAATTCTTAAATATTCCTTGTTAGATCCTTTCTGGTGTTATATTGTTAATTTTGGAAAAGCAGATTCGATTTGGAATAAGATATATGAAAGATCTTTACTAGACCGATTAAAAACCAAGTGCTTT